AGGTTTTACATTTAGGTCTCTGATCCATTTGGAGTTAATTTTTGTGTATGGGAATAGATAGGGGTCCTGTGTTTTAAGCTTTTAATACATATTTTTTATTTTAAAATTGTGGCATACAGTTAAGGGTTAGGCATACAAATATGCATTGTGCAGGTACCCTTGTTGATGAGGTGTGCCCCTCATCCCCAGACAAATATTGACTACCATTAATCCCACCTCCCTTCCCCTCCCTGCCCCTCCCTAATAGTTTCCCTCCACTGTCAATCCTTTTCTTATAGTATTATGATAGTTGTTCAAGGTCCACTTAGGAGTGAGAACATGTGATACTCAGATCTTTTTGTTTCTGTGAGAGATCACTTAGTATTATAAACTCAAAATCCATCCAGGTTGCTGCAAAATTCATGATTTTGTTCTTTTTTATGGTGGCATAATATTCCATTGTGTATATGTACCACATTTTTTTAATCCAGTCCTCTTTTGATGGACAGCATGGTTTGTTCCATAATCTTGCTGTTATGAACAATGCTGCAATAAACATACATGTGCAGGTATCTTTTTTATAGAGTGATTTGAGTTCTTCAGGGTATATTCCCAGTAGGGTGATTGCGGGGTCATATGGAAGGTCAATTTTTAGAGCTTTTAGGAATCGCCACACTGATTTTCACAGAGGCTGCACTAGTTTACACTCCCACCAACAGTGTAGTAGTGTTCCCTTTTCACCACATCCACTCCAGAATCTGTTATTTTTTGAGTTATTGATAATAGCCATTCTGACTGGAGTTAGGTGGTATCTCAGTGTAGTTTTAATTTTCATTTCCTTGATGACTAGTGAGGTTGAACATTTCTTCATGTATCTGTTGGTCACTCATATGTTTTCTTTTGAGAAATGTCTGTTCATATCTTTTGCCCAATTTATAATGGGGTTGTTTGTTTTTTTCTTTTTAGCACATTTGAGTTCCTTGTAGATCCTAGATGTTAGGCCTTTGTCAGACATGGAGTTGGCATATACTTTTTCCCAGTCTGTGAGCTGTCTCCCTGCTCTCTTGGTGGTTTCTTTGGCTTTGCAGAAGCTCGTTAGTTGATGAGGTCCCACTTGTCTATCTTTTCTCTTATGGCTCGTGCATTTTGGTTTTTGTTCAGGAATTGGATGCCAGTTCCAACTTCCATAAGGGTATGTCCTGCATTTTCTAAAGTTCTTATGGTTTGAGGTTTTACATTTAGGTCTCTGATCCATTTAGAGTTAATTTTTGTGTGTGGGGATAGATAGTAGTCTTGTTTGAATCTTCTACATGTGGTCAGCCAGTTTTCCCAGCACCATTTACTGAATAGATTGTCCTCTCCCCAGTGGTGGGTGGTGGGGGCTTTGTCGAAGATGAGTTGGTTGAGAAATTGAGGTTTTTCTTCTGGAATCTCAATTCTATTCCATTGGTCTATATGCCTGTTTTTGTAGCAATATCAAGCTGTTTTGATTATTGTAGCTTTATAGTAAAGTTTAAAGTCTGGTAGTTTGATACCTCCTGCTTTGTTTTTGTGGGTTTTTTGTTTTTTTTTTTTTGCTGAGGATTGTTCTGGCTGTTCTTGGTCGTTTGTGTTTTCATGTGAATTCCTGTATTGTTTTTTCTAGATCTGGGAAGAATGTTGGTGGTAATTTGATGGGTATTACATTAAATCTGTAGATTGCCTTAGGTAAGATGGACATCTTCACAATGTTGATTCC